TTGTGATCACTCCAAATACTTCCCACCCTTATATGGAATTATCCCATGGGTGAGGGGCTGACTTTATAGGAAGGGTGCGCAGAGGTCAGAGGGCTCTCATAAGTGACCAGGAGAGGCAGGCTGTGCCAGGAAAGGTTTCCAGCCTAGGAGCATCTGAGGCTGTGGGCAGCACCCCTAGTCACTGGCTTTTCTCTGCCCAGCATGCACCTCTGGGCCTCTGAGGGATCCCTAGAGATATGCCTCTGGGTGTGGAGAGCCAGCTGCCCCTCCAGGCCTGCGGAGGAGGCTGTGCATTGATTGTGTCACTGATAACAATAGCAGTGATTCACCACGCTGGCAGCAGGTCTATTTTTACTCTCCCAAGGGCCATCTTCCCTCTGCCTTCCCCACGAGTCATGTTTTTGTCTGTTTTAAGAAAGGACTGTGTTTTAACCTGGAACCTCACCACAACTTAGAGGTTTCTTGGCACTTTATTGTTGGGAAGTACTCCTTGTATGCTGCCACAGGCTGGGTGCTGAACCTAACGCCAGAGCCGAGGAGCCACGTGGGGCAGGAGAGGAGGTCTGGCCAGGTCACTCACAAGGGCAGATCATCATTTCTTTTTTAAGGGGAAACACATTCAAATGATACCTGTTGATTTTGTTTAGGATTTTGTGCTAACTATATAAGAGTAGTGAAGGTTTTCTTTTGACTGTCTTTAACTGACATGTGGCCTTGACAATGTCATTGGAATGACCATGCCCTCTGCCCCTTCCAGCTGCACTTTTGTCTGTCATGACAGGACCAATGGACGAAGCTCCATGCAGGACCCAAATGTGGCAGGGACTCTTGTGTATAAATAAAAACACCTGCTCAGGTCACAGTCAGAGCACCCATCAGGAAACCAGAGGGAAGAAGTCAGCATTAACCACCTTCTGAAAAAGAGCCCCGTGTCTTCTCTCTGCTGTGTGTGTTGCTTGCCCAGTGACACCTCAGGAGTGGATGAGGCGCTCAGAACATGCTGCATTTGAGAGAACAAGTGCCCGCTGGGCTGGGACACTGACACCCTGACCCTGACAGCTAGGCTCAGCTCTGTAGTTGTGAGCCCTGACACAGCATTCAGTGTGGCTCACAGGTGCCTTGAATGGCACTTCAGATTGAGAGCTGCAGGCACAAGAGAGATGACCTGTCCTCATGTGGCAAGGACTGTACTTCCAACCCAGACTGTTCAATAAAAACCCTTCTTTAAAAATAAATATTTTTAATGCCGGGCATGGTGGCGCACACCTTTAATCCCAGCACTTGCGAGGCAGAGGCAGGCGGATCTCTGTGAGTTTGAGGCCAGCCTGGTCTACATAACAAGTTCCAGGTCAGCTGGGCCTACAGGGAGACCCTGTCTCAAAAAGACCAAAAGAAATTTTTTAAACCCTTGATTTTGAAATATTTATGTGCCCTGGGAAGAGTCTGTGCCCATGCTCTCTGGTGTGTTGTATGATGGAAGACCATCTGGGGGCCTCAAGCTCTGAGCTGTGCCACCTCCTTGCACACAGGACAGACTGACTCCTCAAACATTCATTTTTACTTGAGCAGGAGATGTGTAAATGCAAGATGGGCCTGTCAGGAATCGAGCTAGTGTTTCCTCCTACCTACATGATAATTTAAGAAGTGTCTAACTCTGGGGGAGAACTCACCTCACATTACACAGCAAATCACATTGGAATTGTACAGACTGATCCTGCTCAGCCCTGACCTGCCTCAGGCCTTCATTTATGCCCAGAGGTTTCTTGTGTCTCCTCAAAGGGGCAAAGACTGAAAAGATACCCCACAGCTCCACAGCTTCAGGTTCTTTATCTGGGTGCAGTTGGGCTTAGCTGGACTCCTGATTGCCATGGGAACCTAAAGAGGGAGAGGAGCCTGCACCTTGGGACGGGCAGCAGAGCTAGATTCTGAGCATCTTTGGAGATGAAGCCAGCTGGGTTTGCTAGTAAACTGATAGCAAGTGGAGTGGGCCTGATCAGATCCTGGAAGCAGGAAGCTATTGACCGTGGGCAGGCCGGGAAGTCAGGAATGGCTGTTTGGATTTCTTTTCCCCTACACCATGGACATCTTTATATGAGAGTTGGCAGATGCTGGTGTGAGGGTGGGTTAACTCAGTGATTAACTCAGGGCCCTTATCCTGGCAGAGTTTTCTCCCGGCACAGGCCATGTTGACTCCCAATACTGGGGTGCCCTGATGGGAGCCACATTTCTGTGTGTTTTTGTGACTTTATTTTGGAATAAATATGGCTGTGATGTTCACATACTGAAACCTGAAGCAACCTGGCACCTGCTTCTCCTCCTGTGCTTAAACTGACTGTCTGCAGCCAGCATGGTGCCACACCTGCATGGCTCCCTCACCCACCACAGAAACTGGCAGGGGAGATCCTCATGTCCTCTCAGCAGATGAGGAGATCAGAGGCCCAAGGAGGTGGGCGCACCGTGGCCAGCAGTTCCAGAGCCACTCCTGCCCTGGAAGGAAGCTCAAGGCTTCCCTAGGTGGCCACAGCAGGCTAGCATCCAAACCACTGCACTGACCATGCATCTGCTGGCTCTGCACTCCAGTCAGGAGTCCTTCTCTGGGAGTCCTTGTCCCTGCCAGCCTGGATGGTGACGTTGGCTACGCAGGTGGCCGTGCATGGAGCAGGACAGCTGCTGGGAGACTCCTGCAAGCCTCTGACCTGTTATTTAATGTACTCTGTTCCCTATCCTTTCTCACCAGGAAAGACTAAACTCAGAAAATTATGCTTATGCTCTGCAAAGGCTGATTGTCTTGGCCGAGTTCCTGTGTGAACTCACGGCTGTTGAGCTGACACTTGACGCTTTGCATCGTGCTGGCTGCTGAGGGGATGCCAGGGACATCAGTGGGCTGCCTATGGGCCTGTGCCTCACTATTTCTCAGGTTGTGCTGGGCTGGACACCAGGCACCAAGAGCTGTGGGGAGCGGGGCCCAGCAGACCCATGCAGTCGTTCTGGAGGTGGGCGTGGAGGGTCACATTTCTCGACTTTTCTGAGGCTGCCTAACAGTGGGTGCTTGAGTGAGGGTGCTGGGGCTCCTGTGCAGCTGTAGTAGGCCAGGGACCACCAGGCAGCAGCAACTGGACCTGAATGCAGCCTGGGCAGGTGGAGGGACCCTGGCCCCTCCCTAACAAACCAATCTTCCCAAAGTTTGTACTGTGGCTAGTCTGACCTTGTGCTCCTTCCTGACTCCCTGTTCTCCTTCATCAAAATGCAGACCTCCTCAGACCCCGAGGTCAGTGACCAGTCTGCCCATTCCCAGACTGCTACTTCTGTTCCCAATGCCCAGACCCCCTCCCAGCACCAGTTTGAATGTCGGGCCTTGAATTTTTATCATCTCATCAACAGTCATGACTAGTTGCAGTTGCCAAGGATGAGCATAACAGATCAGTCAGAAAGGCCCTGGCAGTGCCACAGCACATGACACCTTCTACTCTCCCCACAGCTCGGTGCAGGGCCATGTCTGCCAGGGCTGCCACACAGAGGCAGGCTGGGCCTCCGTGAGGAGGGCATTACCCCCAGGGGCCTCCTTGCTGGAAGCGTCCACACGTCTCACCACTCTCCCATTCCTCGTCCAGTTCCCGTCACACGCGTGTTAGACATCTGGCCTTCCTGCCAAGCTGCCAGATGGGAGGGCAACAGGGATGACGCTCTTCTCCCCACAAGGGGCGCTGTGGGGTAGCTGCCCGCCCACCCTGCTTAGAGTGTCCCCTCTGTAGCACGCAGCTCTTCAGGGAAGAAAGCTACAGTGTGATGTGTGACTGATGGATGAGGCTGGGATGGGTTTGGTACTAAGGGCAGCACAGACTGCGTGGGCAGAGGCTGCGGTCTCCGGCAGGTGGCCACAAGCTAGGCAGCCCTGGAGCTGTGCTTGCTGGTGTTATGCTGACTTTGAGTTAGCTATGTTCTCATCTGTGGAAAGTGGGCCTCTCTGACCTGGTTGCTTGCCCAGATGCCTTGTACACCCCCCCCATTCTGCCTCACCCCTCCACCAACCCAGTTTCCACTCAGGCTTCCACTTCTGGGGAAAACCAGCAGAACCCCTGCCCCATACCCACAAGACAGCAGGAAGTGGGACCCACCTGGGCCTGAATCCCCTGGAAAAATAAGGGTGAATAGGCAATATACCATGAGCTACAGGTGGCCCAGGTCCTCTCTGGGGCATGTGTCTGGACTCTACAAGACCCCACAGCAAGGGCCGAGGCCCTGGGTATGCCCTCCAAGGGGTAGGGAATGGGGATGCATACCTGGGAGCCTAGACTGCTGGCCTGGGGATCAGTTGGAAAGCTCTGTCCCAGAGACCAATGGGTGCTGGGTAGAGATTCAGGCTGCCTGAACCTGGATTACTGAGACAAGGAGACTAGAATCAGACTGTGGGGTGCTTCAGATCAGGGCACAACAGGAGCACTAGAAATCGGAGGCCTTCACACAGAGCCCAACTCACCTGGACTTCACACGCCAGGATCAGTGTTGTGATCCCTGGAAAGGACAGCCAGGTCATGCTGTATGTTGTCCTGTGCTGTTTCCCACTGTTATTCGAGAGGCCAGTGAAACCCCAGACTTGTCCAGTGAACTCTAGCAGAGCAAATATCCCATCCTGTTCCCCAGGAACCTCAGAGCAGGGCAGGGGCTGGTGTTCCAAAGCCTGCGATGCCCAGGTCTGCCTGTTGAGGGTCTTTAGGGGTGTGGGAGTGGGATGGCTGTCAGAAGGGTTGCTGGATGAGGGTTTACAGCAGAGGGAGTCTGGAAGCCTGATTGGCTTGTTCATCCCACTACTGCCTGTGGGCTGGGTACACATTCCACAGTAATCCTGCAGGGAGGAGCTGAACCATCCTCTGCGCAGCCGGAGTTTACCCAGAGCCATAACTGGACACACCAAGCAGGGAGAAACTTCTCAAGAGTGGGGCTTGCAACGGCACAGGGCCTTTCTACCACCTTACCTGGTGTCCCTCTGTTTCATTCCACAGTGAACTTCGATCACTTCCAGATTCTGCGAGCCATTGGGAAGGGCAGCTTTGGCAAGGTAAGGAAGAATTTCTAGATGGGTCAGTGGAGGGTGGGGACACATGGGACCGTGAAGCCACCCAAACTTTCTCCATTTCTCCTCAAAGAAACCATCCCCACCTGGGCAGCATGCTCAGATCTGCCAGAGAGGGAGCATCGCCCAGCCCACCACCCCCTTTTAGGCTGGTCTCTGAGGTCTCAACTCATCCTGGAGCGGAGGGTACTATAGTTCAGTTCTGCAGAAACTTTGTCACCCTGTGTGTGTGTGGGTCTATGTCCCAAGACCCACCCATTCAGTACTGTGACCAGCTTATAGGTTAACGACTTTCCTCAGCAAAGGGTACTTTCCAGCCTGGAAGGAGAGCATCTTAGAAGGACTGTATTGCACAGCCAGCACCCCAGGGTGCAGGAGCTGCTGTGCTCAATGAACCTGTTGACTGAACCAGCAGCTGAGGCCACACTGGAGTCCAGAGGCCAGGCTGTAGGAGCCACTGTGGTGATCCAGCCAGTGTCCTTCCAGGGCGGCCCTGAGGCTGCTGTCCCTCAAACAGGGGCCTGCTGAGCTGTGCCTCCATTTGTCTCATGTTTCCCCTTGGTCGGATCTAACTTCCTGATTGCTGCCTTGTGATACATACAGATTGGGAGTAATTATAACTCAAAGAGCCTTAACGAGTGTTCCAAAAACGCTGGAATTAGCTGCCGGCTTCTGCAGCTTGGTTCGCTATGGATAGACCCTTTCGGAATGGACATTTCTGTTCAGCTGTCTGGGTGCCTCCCTCCCCACTGGTCTCACAGCTGTCTGGATACTGGTCTATTTAGGCTCTGAGAGCCCTCTCCAAAGGAATCCTGCAGCCACCAAAGCACAAAGCACAGCGTTTGAGGGCGATTAATTGCCTCCACTTCATTGTATCACAAAGGATTGCTGCATTGGTTACTGAGTCCTGGGGTGATTGTAAGTCAAAGCAGATGAGCAGTTTGCACAATGCTGAAAATACACTAGGGGAGGAGTTTCTAACGTCCCCATGACCTAGAGGTTCCTACAGGCCTATGGTTTGGCATTTGTGAAGATGGTTAGCCTAACTGAGACTGGTTGAGATGCCTCTGTGCTCCTGACCTCAGGGCCACAGGGTGCAGGGAGGACAAGAACAGACAGGTGGGGTTTGCAGAACAGATGAGGACAACAGCTGGGGCCTGGTTCAGCAGGAGTAGCCGAGACAGGGAGGCACTGGGGTCAGGAGGCATTCAGAACTTAGGTCTAAAGAGGCTGGGCTGTGGGGTCCCAGGACAGAGACCACCCTTAATGGGCTAGGCCCCCTAGGGGGAGGTTAGGTTGAAGGCGCTATTTTCTGGGTCTCTGCCTCCTGACTCGGGGTGCCCCTCATCCAACCCTTCCTATATCAGCTAGGCCCCATAGCTCTCTCTTCCAGGGGCCCCTTGGACCCTGGTACTCTTTGAGAGGGCAGCTGTGCAGCCCCATCCTCTGTCAGGTCTGGAGGACCCCATGCTTTCTGGCTCCTATGACCAGTTCTTAGCTCTGAAGAGGTGTTGACCAGAAGTGAGCTGCTGCAGAATGGGAGAGATTAATTCACTTCTGGAAGCTGTGGGCAGTACAGTTGGGGCACCCCTTCCTTTCCCTGTGCCCAATTAGCTGCCTAATTAGATCACCGGGGGTCTCAGGCTGTGGTTGCTGGGTTGGTATCTGAAAGAGTTAGGACTGTTACAGGCTGGCCTCTCTTCCTGCTCAGTGGCCTGGGCAGCCCCAGGCAGGAAGGAGTGTGAGTTTGTACAACAGGAGAATCACCTTCTGTGGATGGGTCAAAGCCCACTGAAACCCATCACTGTTTAGGGTGGAGTGTGTGCATTTGAGACAAGACTGTTCAGGCCAAGTTCCCTCTAACCTGCAGCTATTCTACCTATTGGGGCCATGGCCCCTGGAGATGAGTAACACAAATGTCATAACTGGTTGTGGGCTTTTTTGTTTTGTTTTTTCAAGACCGGAGACAGGGTCTCCCTGTAGCCCCAGGTGGCTTGGAACTTACTATGTAGACCACCTGCCTCTGCCTCCTGAGTGCTGGGATTAAAGACATGCACCACCATGCCTGGCACTGGTGGTGTTTTTTAAAATGAAGAATGTTCCCTATAGGCTCCAAGTATCTGAACAATTGGCCCCAGCTGGGGCCAGTGTTGGAGAGGGTCTGGAACCTTTAGGAGGTTTGGTGGTGCTGGAGGAAGCATGTCACGGGGCCTGGGCTTTGAGAGCTCATAGCCTCTTCTCATTTCTAGCTTGCCTCTCTCCGCCTCCGGTGCATGCTTGACAGTGTGAGCTCTCAGCTCTCTGCTCCCGCTGCCTCCTGCCACGCCTCTCTCCCATGATGGACTTGTATCCCTCTGTACCATAAACCCAGTAAACTCTTCCTTCTAAAGTGCCTTGGTCACAGTGTTTTATCACAGCAACATAAAAGTAATCAATATATTGGTCCTTAGATATTTTCAATTCCTTTAAAAAAAACTGATAAATTACATGGAACATAATGTTGACCATCTCAACTGTCTCTGCAGTCTTGTCATATTACCACAATCATGTTGTTGTATAATAGATTTCTGAAACTTCTCATCTTGCAACACTGAAGCTGTCCCCATTACGTGATAACCATCCCTCCCCTCTCACCAGCCCCTGGCAGCCAGAGTTCTACTTTCTGTCTTGTGATTTTAAGTACTCTGGACGTTTGCCTTAGTCACTTCTGGCTGCCGTAACAGATGCGCCACAGACAGGATGCTTGAGCAGTAGACATCGCTCCCAGTTCTGAAGGCTAGAAGTTCAAGATCAAGGCAGATATGTGTCTCGTGGGGCCACCTTCCTACTCAGACAGCATCTTCCCATTGTGTCCTTACACAGTGGAAAGTGGCCAGAGCTCTCTGGGGTCCCTGGGAAGGGCATCAGTCCTGTTCATGAAGTCTCCCCACCCTCATAATCTGCTACTGCCACGTAAGAGCTTAAGATTTCAGCAGAGGAATCTGGGGGGACACAAACCTTCCATCTGTTGTATTAAGTGAAACCATGCAAAGTCTGTCTTTTGTGTCTGATTGATTCCACATAGCAAAATAGCCTCAATATATCCTCAAAACGTCCTTTGTCTGTGCTGTTGTGTGTGTCAGAATTCTCCTCCTCTTGAGGTGGCGTTAGATCCGATTGCTCTTGTATACAGTGTTTTGTTTCCTGTTTCTGGACTCTTGAGTTGCTTCCACACCTTTGTGAATACTGCTGCTGTGACCACAGGTACATCAAGGTCTCTCAGTGTCCCTGCTTTTAGTTCTGTCATCCAGAGGTGGAATGGCTGTGTCACAGGGTGATCCTATGCATGCCCTTTGAGGAACTTCCATACTGTTCTCCACAGAGGCTGGTCATGTTACTGTCCCAGCACAGGGCACACAGTTCCAGTATTTCTACGTCCTCACCTGTCCTTGTCATGCTCTCGGTTTCTGGTAGTAGCCTTCCCAGTGGAAGTGAGAGACTGTCTCTTTGTATGTCTCTGATGGTGACAGGCTGGTTCTCAAGCTCTGCTGATGAAATTTCCCAGGTCCCAGGAGGAGCCTATGAAGGTAGTATCCGAAAGTCTGGGATTCAAGCCTCTGTTTATGAAGGCCAGGGTGTTGGAGGCTGATTTTGTTGCAGTTTGTTTTACTGAGCAGCAAGTCTCTTGCTCTGTTTATGAAGGCCAGGGTGTTGGAGGCTGATTTTGTTGCAGTTTGTTTTACTGAGCAGCAAGTCTCTTGAGTTGTTCCTGGGAACAAAACCTGCTAGGGTATCTCTGTAATGGAGGAGTGAGCTGGGTCATCCAGGCAGGTGTGGGGGGGCAGGGGGTGGAGGGTAGAGATCAAGTTACAGATACAGAAAGGTTGAGTGACTGACAAGGGGTGAAGATGAAGACTAGAGGAACTGACTGAGTTTGAGTCAGGACAGCCTTGGTCCTAACCAGCTGCTGGAGTCACTCTCTGAGCCTTGGCTTTGCAAGGTCCTCCCTCAGCAAGCATGACCTGGGTGCCTAGGGTCACTGCATGACGCAGCAGGCTCTAGTGGCCCCCAACTCAGATGTCAAAAGTTCATATCTGTTAGAAAATGTTAGATCGGGATTGACCAGGGCGACATAAAAATGAAAGGAGACTGACCTTAGGAGTAGATTGTTCTTAATTAAGAACAATGAAGGAGGGGACGGTTTCTCCAAGGGGTTTGAAACTACCCTCAGGCACAGCTGGTGGGCTGCTTATAAGGGTTGCGGAGATTGGGAAAGGGAGGGGTGGGGTAGGCTATTTTTCTAGTTCAACATAAGTAATGTAAGTACCAGTGACATGGTTTGGAAGTTTGAGACAAGGGCTGCTATTTGTTTTCACGGATAGGACAGTGTTTGGGTTGGGAGCTTTTCACAGTTTCTGGGTTGGAAATTAGCTCGGATCTGAGGTTTACCTGAAGTTTACTTAATCTGGTATGGGACCCTTCAGAAGTTAGCTCTGGTCCTTTTAAGTCCAGGCATTTATCCTTCAATATCCAGCTTCTCCAAGAAGCATCCCATTGGAACCCTGGACATGTCTATGGAAAGGACATTGGTGTTGGGTAGAATTGCCCTTCTACCAGGCTACCCTCCATCCTGGAAATGACAGGCCAGGCTTGAAGAACACAAGACATGACCAAGTGGCCAATCACTTGAAATTTGGGGAAGTCATGCCTTTGAACAGGTAGTTTTGTTCTCTAAGGAGAGAGGAAACTAGAGCTTCCTCTGGAGTGCTCCCAACTAGTCTTCAGCCATAAGGACAAGGCTCATGTAGGTTTGGGAGTGGAGAAAGGCCTTGTCCCTGAGTGCTCTGGGGCATCATGACTGCCTAGCTGCATAGGAAGGAGACCCGGAAGGATGAGGCTCAGTTGGGACACTCTCCTTCAGGGCTGTGAACCCTTCAGACTCCAGCCAGGAGCGTGTGCTCTGTGTGCACCTGCCTCAAGGCTCGGAGGCCTCTGCAGGAGCCAGC